TGTACGCCACAAATAATGCATATAAATTAATTAACATTGTTCAGTTTTGAAAAGGGTAATGAGTTTCAGCAATTTTGGTCTTTCAAAATTATTAATTCCAAGTATTAAGTCGCAAAAGTGACCGAAAAATGCGGAAATTTAGGAAAAATTTATTATCACTGAATGTATACCACTAAAAATGCACAAAAATTAAATTATGTTACTTAGTACTTCTAAGGGTTATAAGTTTCAACAATTTTCGTCTTTTGATATTATCAAGTCCTAGTGTTATCTCGCAAAAATGACCTAAAAATACACAAACTTAGGGAAGCTTTGTTAGCACAAGCTGTATGCCACTGATGATAAATGAAAATGAAATAACATTACTTAGTTTTCATAAGAGTTATGACTTCCAACAATTTTCGTCTTCCGAAATTATTAATTTCAAGTATTATATTGCAAAATTGACCAAAAAATTTGGAAATTGAGGGAAAATTCATTATCACAGGCTGTACGCCACTAATTATGCATAAAAATTCAATAATGTTATTTAGTTTTTATAAAGGTTATAAGTTTAAACAAATTTTGTCGTTTGAAATTATTAAGTTCATGTGTTGTGTCGCAAAAATGACCGAAAAATACGGAATTTAGGAAAAATTTATTATCACAAGCTGTGTGCTACTGATAATAAATAAAAAGGAATGATCATAACTTAGTACTTTTTAGAGTTTTGAGTTAAACATTGAGTTTTTTTTTCTTCCAGTATTATTTATTCCAAGTAATATATAGCAAAAATGACTGAAAAATACGGAAATCGAGGAAAAATTCATCATTACAGGCTGTACGCTACTGATAATGCATATAAATTGATTAATATTACTTAGTACTTGTGAGTGTTGTAAGCTTCAACAATTTTGGTCTTCGGGAATTAATAATTTCAAGTATTAAATTGCAAAAATAACCGAAAAATACGGAAATTGAGGGAAAATCTATTATCACAGGCTGTACGCTACTGATAATGCATAGAAATTGATTGAAAGTGTTTAGTATTTTTAAGGGTTATAAGTTTCAACAATTTTCGTCTTTCAAAATTATTAAGTTCAAGTGTCATGTCGCAAAAATGACCAAAAATGTGGAAACTTAGGGAAGCTTCATTATCACAAGCTAAATAAAAATAAAAAAACATTACTTAGTTTTCATAAGAGTTATGACTTCCAACAATTTTCGTCTTCCGGAATCATTAATTTCAAGTATTTTATTGCAAAATTGATCGAAAAATACGGAAATTTGGAGATAATTTATTATCACAGGCTGTACGCCACTCATAATAAATAGAAATTGATGAATATTACTTAGTACTCATTAGGGTCATAAGTTTTTATAATTTTGGTCTACCAGNCGCCGTGCAGCGCCGGAAACTCGGGCACTGGCTCGCGACTCTGCTGCATCCATCCCCCGGCCATTGCCTTGCCCTGCGTCATCGATGATTTTTTTTTTTCCTTCTAATTTACGTATGATACAATAATGCTTTGGGAGATTTCTGTGATGGCATTACTCAAACCTTGTAATTTACGAATTTAGAAAAATGAAGAAACTAATTAAATAACTCAGTTATCACAGTTGCTCCTAAAGATATCAATAATAAGAATAATCATAATAATAGTAATATTGCGCTGATTTTATTCAATTATCTAATAATAGCACGATTTCAATGCGTCACATTATTATATATAAAAATTAATTTTTCGCGTTAGGTATGGAACGGATTTAAGTGTAGTTTTTTTTTTCATTATTCTTGGTACAAAATAGTTTTAATTTACCAAAAAATTATCTCGTTACACTTTTCATAGTATACAGTATTATCGACGACAAAATAATACTATCAATAATCAATAGAACGGATAATATACCATATCAATAATGTTAATAATCACAATAGAGTGGTAATGGATAATGGCAATTATACATACAATATAACCAAAGTAATGATAACCGTGACGATATCAGTAATATATATATACATATATATTCAGCATCGTTATAATGAATGTTCTGAAACAAGTTATGATTCTGCTTTTACTAGAGACTATATCCTCTTCACTACAGTTTTCCGCAGGTATAGCTATAATATATAACATTTTTATGTTGAAAAATCGTATACATAAGTTGTGTCTTGTCGCAGGACCATTGCTTCGCTAAACTCCATTCTTAAGTTAATAGTTTTTCTCACTTCTTACTCAAACAGTACCTTTTTCTCCTGTTATTATATTATAGTTCCTCAATTTTTATTTTTGAAAAGTCTAATGCAGATGCGCCGAAACCAGGAGTACCCAAGTACTGGGCTTTTTTTTTTTTTATTTCATTTCCTTTTTTTCAACTATCAATATTTAGCCATGAAAAACTTTATAAAAAGATTTTTAAAAACAATATCTGTATACCTCTTTTGTCAGTTTTTCGTAAATTCGATCACGTAAATTTGTTTCGTATGTACACATGCATTTTTGAGATTTGATCGGGTCAAACTCTCAATTTTGTTCCGCAGAAATACCGGAGCGACAAAAGTATAGTATTGTATCTCCAGAGATGAGATTTCACACGTAGCTCATTACAATATTATACGTCTAGAACACCTGCCTACACGGAAGCATACATATTAGGTGAGACATTGCGATAAATAAGATTCATGTTTTTTTCATTATTCTCTTTTTCTGTGAATAAGTGCGGACATGAAGTTATTGTACAGGGTTACTGCGAGTACTCTGTGGTTTCGGGCCGATCTGTCGTTTAAATCTTAAATGAGCTAATTTTAATATTGAGTTGTTAGTTCGTATTGCTCGACAGCCGGTTCGGCCGACGAGCCAAGGATCACAGGTAGTAGGGTGATCGGATTGCGCGAGCATTTTTCCTTTTTATTGTTGTGTAATATTTTTTTTTTTTTTTTGCATTTTTTTCATTTTTCTTCTTTTTTTGTATCGTTTTTCTGGCGGTTACATGTTCGCTGCGTCTAAAAATGTTCATTCTGCTTGCTTCTCGGTTCTTCGTACCCTCGAGAATTTCAAGGCGACAGCTCCTGAAAGCAAATGTCAAATTCCAGCGTGAGGTACCGAGCGGGTCGGGTTTGATGGCTTGTTTTTTTATCATTTTTTATTCAGACGACATCCATTCTTTCATATAGGTAAGTGGCGCCCTTCGACCAAAAAATCTTCCTCTCAACAGGATATGTTTTACGTAACGAGTGACTTTTTTCGGCACTCGGAGAAAAAAAAACTTGGTTTACTTCAGAAAAATTATTTTAAACTATATAATTGGATTAATTTTTATGAGGATTCATGTAGACAAAAAACAAATTTCATAAATGTCCAATTATATTTACATTATACTCTTATAAATGTGTGCTCGCGCTCTCCAACAACATCAATTACAAAAGTACACGTACGGTTACATACATAGAAACTGGCTAAAATAATAAAGACAAGCGAAATCAAAGGATTAAATGAAAAGGTGAAAAATCATAACAAATAACACGGGTGTATATTTTTATGAAAGCAAACTTTAATAATTATCAAATTCTGAATTTATCGCCTAATAATAATAATAATTACTGTTATATTTACAAAATAAAGTATCGAGAATGCTACTTTCCATTATTACCAACATGTAATAATTCATGTAATACTCATCAAAGCGGCGTTTAAAAATGAGGGAATATCGCAAAAGCGCTGCTGTGCACAGGTGAAAATGGAGTCTTTAACGAGCATAAGTTTACTTATGTACACGAGTCGCACTGTAGGCACACAAGTTGGAATTGCATGAATAAGTATACCAGCACACGAAAAAGACGCCATTATCGCTCGGACACGCCACCTAAAGGATAAGTTTTGTAAGTATTGTAAGTTAAACATTGATTATTTTCAACGCGTCAGTACGAAAAAAAAAAAATAAATAAAAATAAATGAGTGTTACGCTGAACATTGCATCGGTTTAACGCATGCAAATAATATTTAAGAAAAGTCAATGCCAAAAGTACATCATCGCGTGAATTTGCGGTGCACAAAGTGAAGCGACGACAAAACTACTCTCAAACAGTACAGTACGAATAATTAAAAGTTAAAAACTTAGGAAAATGATGGTAATAGTTAAAAAATGAAAAACATCGATGGGAGGCACGAAGCTGGTGCAAAACTTGGAGGAAAAAAAAGGTAAAACTTAAATCGAATAGTGAAGCAGATCGCTTAGTGACAAAACTAGCGCATGTGATATAGTAACTAATCCGTACGCGATGCTTTCTTTTTACTTGACCAAGGCGTAGAAAGTCACCATTGATATATATTGTCACTTTAGTATATATATATATTATTATTATTCGTAATATCCGCAGGTATATCGCACATTTAATAAACCTTACTTTTTATTGATTTTTACAAACACGGCGTTTTTTTTTTCATTTTGATTTTGCACGTGTCTTTAATACCTAATACGAAGCTGTACAATCACTAAAAGTAATCGTTCAAGTTGATTTCTTTTTTGTCAATTGGAGTTACCGAACATGACAAAAAGTTAACAAGCTGTCAAGTGAATAAGAAACATCACCATAGTGCCAAAGTGTCACTGACCCTGACAACATTCAAGACAAAACGAAAAACAAATCATGCTTTAAACATCATCAATACATATATATATATATAAACGTATAGATATAAACTTTCATTATGAAACATGAGCCAGTAAAATTATGCATACGCTGAAAAATTAATGCACCATTGTTACAATATATACGCGAGGTGAAGCATAAAAATTACATGTACATAATATGAGTGTAAAAACGTAATGTATAAAATAAAAATAAAGCTTAGAGTTCAAGGGGAAATACATTAATAATTTATACATACGTAAGGCTCTTAAACAATAGTACACTGCCAAAAGAAAAAGTACTCGTTCTTGCAAAAAAGCTGCGCTACGCAAATTCCTATATTTTTCATCGCACCGCACATATTTTATACTGATTAAATTTATATAAAAAAAAAAAAAAAAAAAAAAAAAAAAGTAGTTATCTCTGTCTAACGTCATAATGCGCTCACAATGTATATTTACCTACTCAAATGGTTCGAGTCGCGCGTTAATTTGTTTGTTCTGATCTTGCCTTAGACGCGCGGTTTGTGGTTGCTCTCCCGATCGGAATCTGAGTCGGCGGACTCGCCGTGCAGCGCCGGAAACTCGGGCACTGGCTCGCGACTCTGCTGCATCCATCCCCCGGCCATTGCCTTGCCCTGCGTCATCGATGATTTTTTTTTTTCCTTCTAATTTACGTATGATACAATAATGCTTTGGGAGATTTCTGTGATGGCATTACTCAAACCTTGTAATTTACGAATTTAGAAAAATGAAGAAACTAATTAAATAACTCAGTTATCACAGTTGCTCCTAAAGCGATATTTTGTTCGTGGTGTATCTCATAAAAAACTATTGACTCGTTCTACGTGTAAACCCATTATCTAATTTAAAAAAAACTCTTTTTTTTCTTTTAATCTAATAAAACAAAAATTTCAAAAATAACGTAATATGCGAAAAATGAGTACAAAATATTCAATTACTCGATTCTAGGTCTATCCAACCATTTGTTTCCCAAATCTATGACGACGTATCACATACTACTGTGTAAAAAAATCATTGTCATTACAACACAAGAGTCAAACATGCAACCGTGTACATGCACCCACCGAGTATTGTCACAGCAACATCTACGATATTGTAAACAAAAGTTGTTCTTTTTTTTATGGCGTGTGATCATATAATCTAATTACACGAGCTTGAAGTTGACAATCCATCAGTAGGTGTATAAATAATGAACTTAATCAAGATTACGCGTTTGCATCTCTTTATCCGTTTAAAACAATAATTTATTCAAACAAGTTTATTGCCGCTCGAACTGATAGCATAAAATCACTCTTAACCAGTAACCACCTAAAATTAATTCTTTTAATTGTTATTAATTAATGTATTAATATCTAAAACAAAAAAAAAAATAATAATTAAAACTCTTATTGCACGCTTATTTGAGATGCCTACAAACTTAGAGCAAAGGATTTTGAGGGAAGACGTTCATAACAATGTGTACTGTGTCAATTTCGTGTGGTGGTAGTACCTCAAAGTGATTGAATTATATTAAAAACCCATCCTTTCTTATTCTATGTAATATGCTGCATCTATTTCACTTTTCATCCGCCAGTCTCGTACGCGTTCACAATTATGTTGAAAAGCGAATTCATAAAATAAACGTCTTCGAGGCGAATATCTGGAGAAGCAAGTTATAGCTCTTAGATTTAAGAGAACAAAAAAAAAAAAAAAAAAAAAANAAGCTCTCTTTAGGGCAAACTATGAATATAATTGACTTATAATATACAGCCACACAATTTTTTCATCGTTAAGCACTTGGTAATTATACAGTTTTTCCGACATGATATAATTAAAATAAGTTCACGCGTTAGTCCTTTAATAAAAATAAAATAGTGTAAGATGTAATTAATCAATAGATATTAACAGCATAATTATTTAACGAAATGTATGAACAAAAACAAACGACAAAGTTACGAAAGCATTTGTCAAATAATACAAACTAAAGAATACTTATGAGAATAGATAATTATCAAAATAGCGTATATGTAAGAAATATAAAATAAAAATATGCCAACAAAAAAGATTTTTTTTCTTTTTGCATTGCAGTCTAGTAAAGTTGTGCTTGTTGCGACGAACGCAAGATCCCGCGTGGCTCGGAGTACAGAGCTTCGCCTCATACTAGGCCCGGCTGACGCTTTTGCGACAAGATACCCTGCACCGCGTCACTGGAAAAACATAACAGAGCATCCGGATTATCGTTCAGCGCTGGTCATCTTCATTACCATGAAATTGTATGAAATTTTTCAAATTAAAGACAAATCCAAAAATACCACTGCACGTTGGTGAAAAAAAAAAAAAAAATATTGTTAATGTATCACCAAAGCTTTTTAAGTATATGAATGGTTAATTAAGCTGAATCTAGCAGCCGCGATACAATTTCTACCTCGGGTACCCTTAAAATTAATATACAGATACCATTTTATTTTACTTAATTAAGAAGGTACCTAGTCTAGCATGGAGGTTACCCCAAGTACATGTTATTTGTTATTTCACGGTATCGCAAGTGTAATTTGGCTGCTAGTTTCAGCTTCATGAATATGGTTAATTTGAACGTTTGCCAGTCAAATACGAGCAGTTGGCAAATTACAAGAGTTATATAAATCACCACACTATGAAAAACGTGTTAGAATTTATTTTGTCAGCACCTTATACTTACAGCTTAGCAAGGAAGTTATTAGCGAGGCAGCCGCGTATGAATACGTCGGTTAGTACAACGAGTACAGCGGGTAAAAGTGTAAAAAAAAAAAAAAAAAAAAAAAAAAGAAGAAACATCGTTTATCGATAACGAAGGGCACGAGAGAGTAGGCATCCGTCCACCAAAAGTCATTACGTCCGCTTTACTTGCGCGTACTCCCCCTTTCTCTATTATCCACGTAGGTATATGCGCCCCACATGTACGCACATAGTCCATTTACCACGTGAAAGGAGCTATGCAGCCTAAAAAAGTGAGTTTGCAACTCCAATGCATACTAAGCGACCCGCTTGATACCCGTAGAGCCAACAGGAGTAGCAACGGCTAGACTATACAATATAGGTACAGCGCACCACCCTCTTCCATACTTGCATGCATTATAATGTATACACCCATGAGACGCATTGTCGTGTTCGCCGGCCGTTTCTCTCTCGGTTGCCGTATCAGCGTACCCTTTGCACTTACTATTCAAATGTAACTATACCGGTAAGACCTTCTTAGTACCTAGACCGACCCCTACAGTTGTTGTATACCTTTTTGGCGCTGGAATGTTCTAGCGGGAGGGCGAGCTCCAATCAATCGAGTAAATAATTTATGCCAGGGAAAGCAAAATCTACAAGAAAGAATCAGCGTGCCTTGTTGCAAGCGCTTGGAAAGTATTCGTGCTGCGCCAAACGCGAGCAGAAAAACATCAGACTATTTTTTCTTTACACACAAGCGCAACTCTGGCAATTACTCAAGATAAGAGATCCCTCGGTGCTGTTACAATAGGGGGATGGTAAAAAAAAAAAAGGAGCGAGTAAACGAACGAGGAGAGAAAATTCGCAAACCGAAGCCCTGAGCTCGAGAGAGGGCGAGGGCTCGTTACTCGCGTTTAATCCGGCGATTCGAGGCCAGTCCACGAGTCACGTAGAGGCGCTAAAGGCCAGGGTGTGTGTTATAATAATCCTACATCGGCACATCCACAGCCGCGCACGTACGTCATTCCCGGCGTGACTTGGCGCGCGTTAATACGTACATACGCAGCGGTCGAGATAATTGCGTACGTGAAAAACTCGAAACAACTTGGGCACGCCCGAGAATTTGACCCTACGTCGGTCGCCCTTTTTCAGTATACTTGTATTGCTGCTCACTGCGCGCTGTTTCGGTGAAATTACTTTAGTTTGGGTGCACCCTCATGGTGGATTGCTTTCCTGGCTTTTCGAGTAACGAAGGCAATCAACGCACGTCGTTAGGGCCGTGGATTAAAAAAGCATCGCCATACAGAAAAGTTTAATTTTTTAAAATCTAGACTAGATCGCTTAACGTGCCAAGTGTAGAGCGTTTTGGTGAAACAGTCGTTTGTTGTAAAAATAGAAAATAAAAATTAGCGAAACATTGCCAAACCTTACAAGGGGGAATTCAATGGCATTTTTATGGAAGACATGCATTAGATATGCGCAAGCTCTGTGAAACATCGGGACCATACATTAATCAAAGTAAATATGGAGAAGCCATAAGGTCGCAAGATATGCTTAATAAAAAAATTGGTTAGTTGGAGGTGCGGAGAAACAGACATTTTATGTGCAAAAACGTGTTGATCAAAGCAAAAGAGAAGCGTGCACGAAATATAAAAATGAACGACAAAAATATAAAGAAAAAGGCCAGCTCTACCGTGTCTACTCATCGTCGTAGTCATGGCTGCGCTGGCGTTCCCTCGGATAATTTACCTGGTGCATCGGATCGTAGCCCATCGAGCCGTCGTTGTAGGGCTGGGAGCCGTAATCGCTACCGTTGATGCCCATGCCGTAGCCGGCCATGTCCTGGGGCGCGCCCGGCGGCGCCGGAGACATCATCGGCGTTGGGGTGCCTTGGCTCGCGCCACCCATACTGTACGGCGATGCTCCTGCAAAAGCTGCTGTAGAAACAATCGCAGTGCTTACAACACTTCGAGGAGTTGGACGTTTTGCGTTTTGCGATTCGATAAACGACGTTGTTCCAAGTCACTCGACGAATTCATATTGTTGTTTTCGTTTGCATGATAAATACTAATTTGTGTACCGTTTAAACAATTATCTCTTTTTTTTAAATCATTACTCTTTGATGAAGGATACGTTAGTGTTTTCTGTTTTGAAAAATGTTTGTGCAGAGTAAATTTTTCTTTGGAAAAATAAGAGTCAATAAACAAGTTAAAACTCAGCTTCGCTCGGCTCATTTCATTTTTACCCCAGTGATTTACTGTCGGACGCAACAACGCACATGCAGTAAAACTCGCGAATGATTTACACAAATGAGAAACAAGCCCGCGCTTTACGATTCTCCGTTTTCTAGCCAACTATTATTATTTTAGCCAAATGAAAAGGAAAAAATAAAAAAGTTCAAATTTATAATATTATTACAGGGGGATAAAATTTTCGCGCTAACGAGTAGGTGCAGGTGTTAGAGTTTGTGCTGTGCGTGTTTAACACGTAACTTACCGGCTGCCTTTTTGGCGGCGTACAAGTTTGCCTCCTCCTGTGCCTTACCAATGTTCTTTTTGTAACGTATCCTCTTGTTTCCGAACCAGTTCGATACCTGTGCAAAAAGAAAAATGAATTAAATAAATTAAATAACGTAAACGAGAGTCAAGAAAACTGTATGGCCGAACTTACCTGACTGACCGTAATGCCACACTTCCGGGCCAACTCTTCCTTCGCTTCCTCACTAGGGTACGGATTGCTGAGGTGCGAGTAGAAGTATTCGTTCAGTATCTCCGATGCTTGTTTGCTAAAGTTTCTCCGTTTGCGCCTACAATCGAAAAAGAAAACAACAAAAAATCATCAAAATGTTTCTTTGCCTTTTTCATCAGCTTGGGCAAAAATTTCACCATACCTTGCGTCGAGGAACCGACTTCTCAAAATCATGACGGCCTCGCACGTCGATTGCTTAAGCTGCATCTGGATGCTGGAGAACTTTTTGTGGATGATCTGTACCATTCTCTCGATCTCCTTGGGCGTGATCGGCCGGGTGCGACTTTGTTCCCTCAGCAGGTTCATCACGTGGGTGGTGAACTCGTTGCAGGCCTGCGGGGAACAAAAAAGTGTTAAAATCTCCATCACTCTCTCTCTCTCTCTGCTTATGCTACATTTAAGAACTTTTTGAAAGCTCCCCACCTCGGGTAACTTTCGAAACTTTCTCGTCCTCCCCAGTCATTTCTAAAATTAAACCAACCAAGGAGACGAAGCCGACATTCTTTATTCAGCACCCTTGGCCTGCCCCGTTGGAGCTTCGTGTCAAAATTTAACGCGATTCCTCTCGATTCCAAAGTTAAAAATAAGCCCTCGCAGGAAGTTTTCGGGAAAAATGTAATGCAGATCGAAGGAGGGGAGAGAAAGGTGGGTGGTACAAGTACATGGGCGAGCTCGGCGGAGGAGGAAGGCAAAGGGGGAGAAGAATAATGCATTATTCCTGGTGCGGTGGCTGTCGACTTTGGGGAAAGGACTTTGCTCGGTATCAGTATTCGGGAGACGCCGAACATGCCGTCGCTACACTGCGGAGCGGCTGGCTTTCCCCGGGGGAGGGGGGGGAGCTTGCAATTTCGGAATGGATTCCCCTGCTCTCCAGCTGGCTGGGGGTGGATCAGCCGCCACAGAGCCCCGTTTCCTTCGCCTGCCCGACTATTCCCGTACCATGTGTAGGGAGGGGGGGCTGCGCGCTCAGGGAGCCCCTCGACCTCTGTCTCTCTCTATTTTGCTCTTTGGATCAGGAGCAGGAGGAGAAGGTTTACGTCGGAAAGGAAACAAAAAAACAGGTAAGGATGCGCGACGTGGCTTGAAAAATTTCAACAAACCCTCGGCTGCACATGTATTTATTTACGTTTAGCTTATATTTTCGTTTTCCATCTAGTACGGGACGCTGTATATAATCGCATTCGAGATGTTTAAGGAGAGCCAAGATTACCTCTTCGGAAATTCTCGGATCGTTATCCAAGTGAGGTATGATGGTTTCGGTTTTGTCAGGGCAAAATGATCGTTTATGCATTTCCGTAGGAAAAAGACAAGCATAAATAATCCCAGTACAAGCCCACACGTAAACTTTGACGGCTAAACTGCTATTTGCGGGTTCGCGTTTGGCATAATTTCATCGAGGCAAGAGGGATCAATTTGCATCATGCAACTTCGTATCGATCGTATAGTTTAGGCCGTGATGCGGCGGAAGTATTGAATTTGAGCCAACAACAGCGGCAGTGGGACATGTAATCTCCATACAAGTTGCTCGAAGTACATTGTACAAGTGTGTCTCCCGATGCGCCAAAGTTCGAATCGCAAATGGGACCAAGCCTTTTTCACGATGTCCGGTAGAAACACCTAGTCCTGCCAAAGTTGATACTTTTTTGTTTTGCCCCGCGTCGACAAATGTATATTTTTATAGGTAATATGGTATGCGATTGCGCGTGCAAAGAGACAAGAGCAACAGCGAAAGTATAGTATCTCCACGTGTTCACTCTACATATGACATTCATATGACTTTGCGTCGAGTAAAAAAAAAAAAAAAAAGACAACTTATTTCAAAAATTTAGTAAACGCGCACTACAGCGCGCATCTAACGAGGAACAACGTTGAACTGGAGTTGAAAAAAATCTCGTGTCCATTCCCGTAGCACCTGGACACACGTATATACTCGAAATGCCCTTTGTGGGTGTAATTGAAATGTGACAAAGGTCGTGCCCACCTGTTCGTACTTCTCCAGCTCCTGGTGGTAGATCTGTCGGATTTGGGCGAGCTTGGCGCGGTAGTCCGAGTGCTCGATGGCGTTGTCGGGTTGGCCCGGTGGTCCCGCCGCTGCGGCCGCCGAAGCCGAGGCCGCGGCTCCGGCGCCACCTCCCTTCTCCGGGCCCGCGACACCCTCGGCTATCAGCATGTTGTCCAGCCTCATGAGCTGCGGATCCGGGGGCTCCTCCTCCTGCGTGTTCCTCAGCGACAGAACTGCAAGGAAAACCAAACGCAACAATTTAGCACATGGATGTCTACCCTCTCGGTGCGGTTTTTGTGGTTTATTCGCGTATATAGGTGTACCGAATGACTCTGATACGCGCTCCGCGTGACAGATGGTTAGTGTTGATATGTATGGAGTGTATACAGGTACAAGGAGCATACGGAGTGCCTCCAAGAGTGCCGGCACGATCGAGCGAGTAATAAAAAAAAAAGAGAGAGAGAGAGCCACGGGGACGCGACTTTTGAAAACACGCGCGTATAGGTATACACGTATACCGTGCATATAAATATATAGGGTAGTCGTTTACCGATCGTAAAGGAATCAATTCCTCCCGGAGCTTCAACCGGGGAATATATTACATAGTGGGTACGTGCCGTGCCGAAGTGGGTATGTGGTGGTCGTTCAACAGTGGGGCTCTCAAAGCGGGGAGAAGAGGTGTGTATATACAACAGAGGAGTATATAAATGTATACAAGAATCGGTAACAGTGGCTTTTGTCGCACGTTTTACGAACGGTAACTATAACTATGTACTGCGCAGTGTATAGAGGACGGATGGATAGTAAAACCACTCTTTTTCCCTATTTTTTTTTTTTTTTTTTTTTTTTTTTTCCTCTCTTCTTGCTCTCATCAACTTTGCCAAATCTAGATCATGTTGCATCAAACAAGCATTGGGACGGTTTTACGATAGGCAAGATACGGTGCCTGTACCATGATGGCCCGTATAATTGTATATATACTCGTAACAACTGCCTAACATGATATTTTATATTTTACGTTTGCCTCACTTTTGCACGAGCTGTTTTTTCTTACCTAGCGATTACAATTTTGAATAGGGTCGGAAAAAGTATGACAAAAATAACCAGAGGGGAAATAATACGACGGAAAATCGAGGGAGAGGAAGAACGGTAGACCAAAGCCCAATTATACACGCGAAGCGCAATTAAAGCCTGCCCTTTCTTTCCTCGCACTTTCCGGAGGGGAGGCCTCTCCCAAGGAAAGGCGCTCGAGTGCACCCTCGAGACTTTTCACTCGAGAAGGAGCCCTGTATACATTTGGTTATACATGTATACGTATTGTTTTTTTTTTCCCCCTCACAATTATATACTGTCTCGGACAAGTACAGAAGAGAGTACAGAATATACCATATACACGTATATATATACATGCATGCATGTATGTACATTACACAACGAATAAAGAGCTTTTTAGGGTTTATACTTAGGTGGGGGTGGGAATGTATGTACATCCTTATACGGGAGCGTAAACTCGCTTTTACTGCCGGTTAACGTTTTACGACTCAAACGATATGTCGGCCCCGACACTTGCGCGTCCTCCACTCTCCTACTCGCCTCTATCGAGCGCATAATATCATCAACTGCTCACTTCGTATAATATACAATTAACGGAAACGAGTGATTTTACAAGTACAAAAATATATATGTATGTATTTTTTCACGTTATTTGATGGTAAATGTCGAAATATCAGAGAAGAGTTTAATACATTGAAAAAATATGTCTTTGCGCTCTCTTGCGCGGCATCATATTATACCTACTACGTATGGTCTACAGAGTGTATATCTCACGGAACGTAACTATAAGCCCGTCGCGTCTGTCGGCCACCTCTTCTCTCTCGAAATCTCCTCTCGAACTTCGTCCCCGAAAATATATACACGCGCGCACCCTCGCACGAGAGTAATCTCGGCCCCGAGGGGGGCCATCGGGCGTCTCCAGAATCGACTGCTCTTTTAATCCAGGAGGAGAAGGAGGACCGAAAAACCCGAGGATATATAATACATGGAGAGGGGAGGAACTGGACGGACGGCCTGTATACCCTACCCCCAATTACTCGATATACGCACAGTGCCCCAATATATCAGTCTCGCCGGAGACGCTAAGTAGTATACGTGCCAAATTGTCGAGCGAGCTAACTTCTACAAAGGAAGAAAAAAAAAGCGGGAGAGCTGCGCTTTGTATACCGGTGTGATACAAAAATTATGGAAATCCACTAATCACCCCTGCCTGGCTGCCTCCTCGTGCCCCGTGCGTGCACATCCCCTCTGGAAAATCCAATAACCGCTCGCGTTGCGCCGAGCTTGCAGGGAAGGAAGAAGCGCCATCTCACCTTTACCCTCCCCCCGACCCCCCTTTTTTCATACTATAGGCCCACCGGCTTCGTAAATCATGGAAGCAAAGTTGAAAAGCTGAACCGAAGCTGCGGGTACCGGCTGCTCGGAACGACTTCTAGCGGGGAAACGAGCAAAAAGTCGCGTGGGCCATGGGAACAAGCGAAGGAGTTGAGCCGTACCGCGTATATACCGTATATATACATATAAATTAATATAGCCACACGTGCAAAGGCAACTTTGGCGCTTTGCTTGCACGAGTCAAGTTTATTGCGCCGGGTGTTGTTCTTCCTCTCGTCGCAGCAATTTTACAGGCCGGCCGGGCCAGGAGAGAGGTACTCTAGCGCTGTTTCCGCGTAAAATCGAAAATCAAGTTAAATCGGTTTCCATGCAGGGCCAGAGGAGAGAAAAAGCTTCAATTGGTGTATTATTGTAAACGCATCAAAGATTGGTAAAGAAAATAAAAAGCCAACCTGTAGACACGAAACGAATGATATTAGCATATATACATATCAACACGTCTCACGATAAATATAAACGCACGGGCAATCTTTAGTATTCCCAGTAAGTTTTTTTCAGAGGACTTGAGAAGAAAAAAAAAAGGTAAATCAGTAGCCTCGCAATATATTGCGCGCCAGAAGGAATTGGTATATATATTATAGAGTTGTGTAACGAAGCGCCGGCGCTCCTCCACTCGGGACGATCCAACTTACGCGTGTGTGGGTATGTATGTACACGCGTATAAAATGCAAAGGAGATTGTAAAATTTTACTGCCTCCTAATCGACTAATAATTGTTACGGGTATGATCGTGTAAAACACGTCGTAAACGTATACGTCGATGAGAGACGGCCGAGGGGTATATAGTATAAGGTAACAGCCTTATATATATATGTAGCCGACGGAGCGAGGAATTTATGGCGCTTTTGGAGTCATATACCCCTCCTTCTCCTGCCCACCCCCCTCTTTATTAAAAGTACTACGAAGCTCCAACGTACTCAGTTATTCACGAGTGGGCCTCAATCATAGATCCTGTCTCTAAGATAAAACTAATTGTTGCTCTCGTTTTCACGATTTCCTTATTGAAATCAGTAGTCATATTTATGCAAAAAAAAAAAAAACTGTATTAAATTTTTTCCACACAAGTCATGTCGTGTGAAATTCCTTCGAATACATTAGAAAAAAGGTAGATGCAGAGATAAGATATATTTTTTTCCAGCACTTGAGGGAAAAATGGTAATCGTTACCGATACTTGGGTGCTTAGCAAGTTTGCTCGGGCACGTTGATCGTCTTCCGGAAAATCAGTTGTCCGCAACAAATAACGGAAGAAAGCGCATGAATGAAACTTTCCTCGAGTTATCATTTACGATGAAGCGAGCCTCTCACGGCACACATGCGCTACACAGTTAAAGACGAGAGCCTCCTTCAGAAAAAAACACTACTGCTCTGTGTGATTATACTGCAGTAAGTGTACAAGCGAGAGAGAGAGGAATGGTCCAGTCGGAAAGTCTAGACAAATTTTCTTTTTCCTCCTCCTCTCGCAGGACAAACTACAAGTATATATATATATCAGTACGCGCGAGCGGGCTGTCTATAAATAAAACTTCGTCCATCCGATCGGAGGGAATTTCGAGTCATCGACCGTGCGTGTACACTTGCGTAACCGAGATTTGTTTTTCTGCCCCGTCGTGGTAAGTAATTGGCTCTCATTAACTGGTGTTATTATATCTCCCATTTTTTTTTCTTCTTTTTCTTACTTTAATTCACTGTCGGTGGCGTTGATGAAATGACACAACATCCCGATAAACGCGAGACTCCAAAAAGGTACATTGTAGGTATCATATTATACTCAAATTTCACAGATCCATTCACGTTGCGAGTGTTTTTCTTGTCCGCGTTAGCATACGTATACTTATCTCTCGAGTCGACGATGATCCTCGCCAGACACGGTAGCATGGGAATAAGAAAAAGAGCAAAACAAGGAGCAGGAAGCTCGAGATTCATGACAAAGGGGTAGGTAAGTATACGTGTATAGTATAGAGCAGTGGAGGCGGACGTCGAGAGGCTAATAACGCGGATCGTCGAGTATAGTTGAGAGGGAAAGTGGCGCGGGAGGTCTGATATGAGTGACACACCGTGCCGGGAGCATCAACTTCAATGGGCCGCGTTGCGTGTACACGAGGTTTGGTACGGGGGAGCTTTTTCGCGGGAGAGGAGGGATCGGCTCTAATGAAAGACATCAGCACGTGGAGTAGGGGATGCGGGTATGCCAGGAATGCTGGGAAATGGTTCGCGCGTGCTTCGTTGCGTTTAGGTCTGCACTTGTATACCTACACATATATATCATGGTGTTGCACAGTAGAGGAGATTAACCGAGCAGTCTCCTTTTGTTGATTTTGTGCTTTACCCCCGCAATGTGCCTCGGGACGAAGAAACTTTTCCTATAATAACGAGCGATAAACAAACTCTTTGTTGATTTTAATTTCATCAAGTTTAGCTCGGCCATTATTTGTTACATTTCAGATTTCATGTAAGTTGACTTTCAAGTCCAAGTTAACTTGTGTATACCTAACGTGTACACATCACACAGTCGGACTAAATCTGGCTTTGATTGATAAAACACTCCATTGTTCCACGGTACGGTATGTACATGTCTGTATATGTACATTGTTTGCTAAAGTATGGGCCAGAGAAGAAACAACAGTCCACAGTCCGGAGTGAGGAAAAAAAATATGAATGGGTTTTTATCGCCCTCTACTTTAACAGAGAATGAGTATTTATACCTTTGTCTACGTGAAAAGCGTGGAAATAAAAGAGGCAAGGACAATAATAAAATCCATCACAGGAGCAAAAGCAGCTGTACGCA